GAAATGGATGTATGGGTGCAAAAGTTGATTTCATTATTATTTTTTGATTGTTTAATTGATTTGTAAAAGATGATTTGTAAATGTTGATTTGTTTAATTGATGTGTACATAATTTTTGTGCTTGTTTAATTGATTGAAATGTAATAGTTGATTTGTTGATTTCAATCTGCATTATGTTGAATGCAAAATAGAATATCGCAACGCGGAAATGACTATTGCAACGAGAGAATCGCATTGCGATTCACTCGTTGCGCTTTTCATTTCGCATTACGATTTTCATTTCGTATTGCGATTCTCTCGTTGCGATAGTCATTTCCGCGTTGCGATAGTCAATTCCGCGTTGCGATAATCATTTTCGTGTTACGATAGTCATATTCGCGTTGCGATTTCCGCGTTGCGATAGTCAAATGAATGTCTAATAAGTGATAACAACTGAACATATCATAGCAATGTTCAAACTCAAGTTACTAATACATGCCTAACTGAAAATGTTAAAAGTTCATACATAATATACACATAATACAACGTTTGCATTTAAAAATCACCTAAGTTAACAGTCCCAAAAGGTGAAGCCGGTTGTGATTGGGATTTTGATGAGGATCCATATTTTGGTAGAGGAAAAGATGATTGTGATGACACTGGTGATCCACATGTCAACCTTGTATGACCACTTTCCTTGCACCGACTACATGTCGATCTCTTCTTCTCTTCACCCTTAGACGGTATACGATCGTGACGTTTTGGTCGGCCAGGTAGCCTTCTTTCTATGGTGGTGGCAAAACTGTTTGTAAGTCATCTGGTATATCCCACTCAGAAGGATGTGGAATAGGGTAGACAATCTCGCCATAAGTCTGTCGATATACTTATATAGTGTAGCAATCCATAACGTATGCGCTTGAATCATCTTGGTTTAGATGAAGAGAAACTTTTATAACATGGCCACACGGATAACCAGATGTTTTCCATTTCATACAACTACACGTCTTTGCATTTAGATCGACAAGCCCATTTAAGTTATTATCCAGTACTTCAAACAAAGTGTTTGAACATGGTTCAACTCTCCATGACGTTAACTTCACAACACGTTTCGTTATCTTTTTTTCTATCCATAGTGTAACATGATGTTCCAATGTTCCTGTAAATTTAAATAAATAATACTTAGTAAAATATATGATAAGTTACGAATTTAAAGAAATAATACCTGCATGGTTTCTTTTCTTGTAGTACCACTGTTGAATAGAGGCTCGAAAAAACTCCATTAACATAGTAATGGGTAATTTCCGGGAATGACAACTTAGAGCGTTGATTGATTCTGCACTATTAGACGTCATGAAACCATATCTTGCTCCAAGTTGATATACTCTTGACCATCTTTCAAACCCGACATCTTCTAGTGTTTGAGCACACTGAGGCAAAACACATCTTAAACAGTTTATATGCTTATTAAAATCCACTTCCCGATAAGCTTTTACAGCCTGTATGTCAATTTGTGATTTTTTATACCAGCAGACCTTGATTTTAGATTTCTATACAAATGAACACCACAAAGTCCATGAAAAGCATCTGGGAAACACCTTCTAACAGCGTTGTCAATTGAGTTTGCCCTATCGGATATGATTGTCAGATTGCTAATAGGACCTATGCAATCCCTAAGATGCCCCATAAACCATGTCCATGAATCAGAGGTTTAAGATTTGCCAACCCCGTAAGCTATTGGCAGTATCCCATTGTTAGCATCCATGGCTACTGCCAATAAGTTTACTCTAAGGTATCGACCTTTTAAATATGCTCCGTCAACTATAATAAATGGGCGCATGCAATTAATAAACGAACGAATCTACAAAATCATATACACAAGAAATATAATCATTTAAATGTGAAATGCATGTAACTAACAAAATGAGTCAACAAAATTATATTGATTTACTAACCGCAACACCAATGGCGATAAACAGCAACTCAAAGCGTCCATCTCTATCTGTTTTGATATGAGTTACCGACCCAGGATTTTTCAGCTTTAAATTGTGATAATAAGCCGACAGTTGGGCAAACGATGCTTCTGGCGACCCCCTCAACAAGTCCAAGGCATAACTTTTGGCTCTCCAAGCTTGAGAATATGAGATATTAATCTTGAACCGAGCATTCATGTCAGTCATAATTTCATGTCCCCGATATACCCTGCCATTCAAAAACATTAACTCAGCCAGAAAACCACCCAACACCTTTTTGTTTGACTGTCTATGGTGAGGAAAAACTTGGGTTCTTGAACATGTATGTTTATCAATAAAATTCCTAACTTGAAACATTTCGCAATCTTTTATCCTCTTTGCAATCATACGCCACGTACAGTTTTTGTCAATCATACACCTTGTTTCAAAACGATCTTTGCTTGATTTGTTAACTTTTAGTTGATAGCCATCTTCCACACATTTCATATACAAAGCTATCTTCAAGTCTTCCTTTGTATCAAAACAATCATCTTTCTTGATACGAATAATTTTTGTGTAACAATCAACTGCTATCTTTACCAACTCTTCTTCCGGTATCTGAAGTAATTCTGGCATATTCCAGTTATACTCCCGTGGCATTTTCTTCGGGGACTTTTCTTTGGGGATTTCTTCTTCTTCTTTTTCTTCTTCAGTGTTATATGAATTACATAATGGATGTTCAACATATTCATTTACAATCGTAACTTCCTCCTCATTATCATCAACAACATCTTCCTCGGCAACGGCTGTTTCATCATCAAAATTTGGGTATTGACCAATATCAAAATCATTACACGCAGGGTCTGTTTCTTCTTCTGAAAAATCATCAAAATCCGAGTATTGACTAAGATCAAAGTCCGGGTATTGACCAAGATCAAATTTCGAATACTGACTAGTACTCACAATTTTTTCTGTTGGCTCATCATCGTCTAACTGGTCAATACGAAAACCGGAATTTGGTGCTGAAAGTTGATTGGGATTTGGATTAGGGAAAGGTTGTGGGTTTTGAGATTGTGTTTGGTATTGGAAATGTGGTGAAACAAAATTTGCTTGGTGATGAAATTGTAGTGGAACCATTAAATTTTGAGCACCATAAACTGGGGTTGAAAAACTTAGTTGATTACTACCCGCTACTGACCCAACTTCACTACTTTTAGGTTCAACAACATACAATGTAACATCATCACTTGAAACTCTAATGTAAGCAATGAATCGTTCAACATCTTCATTGTCGGTTAACAAATAAACTTTACCATTTCTCTGATAAGATAGCCTAAATCCACTTAGGGGCTCTAAATTCAATTTATTTGCAACACGTAACATTAGAGTTTCATAAGTTAACTTTTTTAATGACAGTTTTAGTTGAAGATTCATGGGTAAAGACATATATTTTAAAACACCATGAACATTCTCCCATGACCCTCCAAAACACAAATCTATCCAAACATGATCAACATTAGATGATTTCATTATTGTAAATTAATTTACTAAACAAACGAGCTGCGAAACTAAAACCTGTTACCGGATGGGGAAGGATGTCTTTGGATATAGGAACGGATGTCGCCGGAGAGAGTGATAGATGGAGATGGAATGAGTTGCGATTTAGGGATTTAGGTTATGAGTTGCTGCTGCTGCGTAGTTATATACCCAAAACATTTGTGTTGCGAAACTAAAACCTGTTGCGAATTCAAAAATCGAGTTGCGAATTTGAAATTCAGTATTGCGATAGTCAGAATCTCGTTGCGATTTACAGATTCGCATTACGATTTATGTATTCGTATTGCGATTTACGTAATCGCATTGCGATTTACGTAATCGCATTGCGATTTTCCAAATTCGCGTTGCGATTTACGTATTCGCATTGCGAATTAGGAAAATCGCAACGCAAATTTGGGAAATCGCAATGCGATAGTCAGAATCGCGTTGCGAATCTGGAAACTAATTTACGATACCGGAGATCGCGTTGCGAATTATCGATCGCATTGCGATTTAGTTGGTCATTTTGACAAATCTAAAAAAAGTTGGTTAAAATCATATATTATAAGACATTTTTGGTCAATGAAGTTATTTTCTCTAATTCATATCATCATAAGTGGAAGGGGTTCTTGCCACTCCTAAATTTTTTGGTTTAATAGCATTCTAGGATTTTATCAATTTAAATTTAAATAATATTAGACTTTTATCCTCTCAATTTTTTTAAATTAAAAAATAATAAATCATTATTTTAAAATTAAATACTTTATCTTTTTTTAATATTTGATTTTGACTCCGCCTCTTCTTATCATCGGTGATGAATTGTTTGTGGAGCGAGACGTTTTGTATGTAATTGATATGTTATTGAAACACTACTGCGAGGTAACGATCCAATATATTAGACGAAACATGAATATTGGGTCAGGATGAACAGTAAATAGTCTAATTGAATGTTTAAAACTCTATTGTAAATTCAGTGTAGCTTGAAACTGTGAATAGTACTTAAATTTAAATTCAAATAGTCTAAATATTGAATTTATTATGTAATGTTAATAGTAAAAATATATTATTCTCTTTATAAAATTTAAATTCGAATTATTATATCTTCTCAATAAATTAAAAGAATTTATGAAAAATACTACTTTTTAGTCTGTACTAATAAAATAGATGAGTTTTAAAAGGGAACAAAAGAGGGGTCAGGGAAGTGATATAGATATCAGTGGCGTGTAAACTCGGCACAGACCTCCATTACTCACTCATCAGTTGCTTTCTTTTACTTTTATTTTATTCACTAACTCGGCGAGTCAAGTCTAGCCCCCAAATTACTGGTCTTCTTCACGCGTGTGCCGGATTCAAAACACACCTTCTTCAACCTTCATATTTTAATACCCCGGTTTTGAAGACTAAAACAACAAGTAAATTATAATTATACATCCAAAACCGACCTTTGAAAAAGTACAACACTTTGTTCTTATTTCACAAACCCTTTAAAGCCTTCCTGTTCCAATTCATCTCCCACCTTGAACCTCTCTTTTCGTACATGGGAAATGGATATAATCATCGTCTTCGAGAGCGGAACATGCATTTTAATCACAAGCTAACTTTCTTTCCCATCTTGTGTTCCAGACCATCCATTAAGGATGTCAGCCTCCCCAAATGGAAAGACAAATCTGAGCCTTTGTCCCCCAAGATCAGTTGCATGGGACAAGTGACGAGGAGTAACAGGGTTGTTGTGTGTCCTGCTTCCCACAAATTCAGTGTCACCACCAAGAACGATAATGGCATCAAGTATTTCAAGCTCAATAAGCTGTTCTCCGGGAAGAATCTAACCGGCACCCCTGTCACCGCCGCCACAACCACCGCCACCAGTTGCCGAAGAGAGGAGAATTCGGTTTCAGTCAACATTGAGAACATGGATCCACCGTTGCCTGTGACCAAGAGAGTTCGGAAACAAGGTGAAAAACAGGATGGGGATACTCTTTGGGAGAGGAGATCCCGTGGGGTTGTATTGAAAAACTTGCAACTCCAACAGATTCAACTCAACAAACATCAAGTACCCATCACAGTTGAAAAGTGAAAGAAGTAGTAGAAGGTCAGTTAATGCTTAATGGTGATAGCTAATTTATATTGTTCAAAGATTTGTTCTTAAAAATTCCAATTTTTTTTTATGTTGGTTTCAAGTGAGGCATCAAGATGTATATGAATCATTCACCAATGTTAAAAGATTTAGGCTTTAATATCTGGAAATTATTATTGGTAGATCCTTCTACCCCACCACTATATTTTCTTGCTGGTTATAATTTCAATGCCAAAATCAACTAACATGACAGAACAGTGTTGAATGGATATGTGAATGAAATTGCAGTGAATTGTCAAAGATTGATGAACTTGCTGAAACCAAACATACACAACCAGACAAAAGCCACATCTTCTCAGTACAATACATTTGTATCTGTTTCTACATCCTGTTTTCTATAATAATCTCATTTAGAAAATCCTGTAGTAGTATTGGCTTGTTTATTATGTGCAGAATGTTAAATGGCCGACAAGTCATGTGCATTTATGACTTGTCTATAATATTTTGAAAAATTAAACATGGTTGGTGAGGAGAGGAGAGTGTTGAAAGTGCAATTGCAGCTACAGTGTAATTACTGCGGTAGACCTATATCATTCGCCTATGAACAGATATAAACTAGATATTGACTGTTGCACTAATGTCCATATGAGCTCCATGTCCTAAAAGCTAAGACAATGGTTGCCTATGAATATAGTAGGTCAAATAATTTAGGAGCATTAACTCCTATACCAGCTCTTCAAATCAGAGTCCAGATAGTATAAGGTAAGATTAATCAGGGTCCCTGGCAGCAAAAACTAGATGGGAACACAACTCATTTCCATTTAGTTCCAAATGCAAAATAATGCCTTTTTTCCCCCGGGTTACTTGGAATGTGTTTGAACATTACAGTATACTTGCATAAAAAATGTAATTATTATTCTAACAAAATTTAGCTGACCCTATTCTCATATGTAATGGAGTGAGGGGGAGGTAGGATAGTAGGCTGCCGTCAGGTTGAGAGCATAAGACCTAAATATACAACTTTCTGAACATGCATGAGTGGCAATTCTCACCATCACATCACACAAACCTTTCATATTTCCAATAGTTCTTCCATAAAAAACAAATCAGTCCATTTCTTCCATGTCTTTAAATGGAAATCAATGTGCATTTCTTCCATGTCTTTAAATGGAAATCAATGTGCTCTAGGGTTGCACAACAGACAGTTGAGGGAATGGATAGGAACACTCAAGAGGTGGAGATGATTTTCGTTCTAGGAAAAGGGAATGATGTTGATAAGATCTGGTTTTTTAGGGGACAAAAGCAAGCTAAATTTAATGACGTCGATCAAATGCTGAATGGACTGTTCATAATCTGGAAAATCCGGTTGAACTTTGAAGGCTAACTTTGTGTACTTGAAAACTATTTTTATCCAATAATAGCCATCGAAAATATACGGTCGCTGATAAGTCCTTTAATCATGAGTTGAATTTGCAATATATGTGATTGGATTGGTTCCTCGTGCTCCAACGCACTCAGAAAGGTTGGATAATTTGCAATACATGCGACTGAATTTGCAATCCAGTGGTAGATAATTATTGGAATGAGTTGCAAAATTTAGGGACAATCTATATTATGTATATATACCTCTAACTAGGGTTGCACATAATTCGGATTTCAATCCGATCCGGATCGGTTTTTATCCGATCCGGTTTTTTCCCATAGAAAAAAAAACCGGTTTATAAAATAACCGGTTCGGTTTCTAACCGGTTTGGAGGGCCGGATATCCTAACCGGTGTAACCGGTTTCGGTTTTAAAAAAACCGGTTTTTTTAAAAAACCGGTTATAAAAAAACCGATTTTAATATTCCAGATTGCTCATAGGGAACCGATTCCCCCCAAGGGGGTACCGATTCCTCACTGAATGGTTTGGCTCCGAGATTTCCAGAATGCTCGGAGGGAACCGATTCCCCCATAGGGGTACCGATTCCCCCCTATTCAACGGTCGAAATATTTGAATTTTACACTTAGGGAACCGATTCCCTATGAGAGGGTACCGATTCCCCCCACGCTCTAAGCATTTTTATTAAATGTTTTCACACTTAAACGGCTATATTATCTTCATTAATTATCACTAACGTTCAGAAGTGATTCAAGGTGTATTTAAGCAAGCTTAGAAGTCATTGATCAAATACAAGAAACATCAAGCAACTAGAATCAAGAGAGAATCAAAGAGAAAGCATCAAACCTCAAGTTCGATAAATTCAAATACTTAATTGAAATACTTAATTAACTCAACATAATTGAAATACTTAAATACTTCCAAGTTTGATAAATTCAAATACTTAAAAACTTCCAAGTTCGATAAATTCAAATACTTAAAAACTTCAAGTTCGATAATTGAAACAAAGTTTACGATAATTGAAATAAAGTTATAAAATAAACTACATTGCCATCTCTTCTTCATCATCTTCGCCTTCTTCGTTTGGAGGGGATATTCCAAGTTCGACTTCTTCAATGTGTAAGTTTGCTTCCAAATCGGCATCAATTGCATCTTCTAGGGTGGTGATATGTTGCTTACGAGCCGCTCCATCCAAATAATCCTTTAAACAAATGCATACTTCCACCGACTCGGGACTTAGTCTTGATCTCCGTTGCGATATAACCCTGCCACTAACAGAAAAAGCGGATTCCGAAGCTACCGTAGAAGCTTGGACGGTTAGTAAATCACGGGCCATGGCGGCTAGAATCGGAAATTGTGCTTCCTTTTCTTTCCACCAAGCCAAAATATCCAAACTTTCAAACTCTTCAAATGTCATTTTTGATAGAAAATCGCATGACATATAATTTCCCAACTCGCTACTTGGGGTGGTAGTACGTGATCGTTTGGATTGGGAATTTACAAGAGTGTTAAAAAGATTCAAATTTATGTTACTTGGACGTCTACTAGATGATTCCGCATTCATTCTCATTTGATCGTGTATTACACTACTTGATCCGTATTTATTTAAATAAATTGCAAACATGTCTCGAAAACATTTGTTAAAATAATTTATTTGGTTTTGGACAAAGTTGGGTTCATCATCGGTTAGATTAAAAGCAAACGCAATTTGTTCAATTAGTGTTTCAACCCCACCAACATTTAACGTTGGGTTTAAAGCGGCGGCACAAGTAAAAATGGGGGGAATCTCCTTAAAATATTTTAAAAGTTTTTCCTTCATTGCAAAGCCAATTTCTTGAAAAACTTCGGTTTCAAATTCAAAGTCATTTAGTCGGGTAGCCAACAAAAATATTTGATTAAGAACCAACGGGCTAGTAGGGTAATAAACACCGGATTAAAAAGTTGTTGCATTTTAAAAACCTCAAGTAAATCGGTTATTTTGGCTATAGTTTCCCAACTCGAATCCGGATAAATGTCTGGGACATGACCCCTCTCGAAAAGCCGATCGTGAAATGTTTGCAATGTTTCCCTTTGCCTTAAGGCAGTATGCATCATCATCCAAGTTGAGTTCCAACGAGTTGGACAATCCAAATTAGGACCCAAAGCTTTTTTATTAACAGACTTACAAAATCGTTTATAATCATTTAGTCTTTTGTTGTTGTTACAAAGAATCGATTTTATCATTGTTTTAAATTCTAATCTAATTGGCTCAATAACCTCCAAACCGGCTTGCACGGATAAATTAATTATGTGTGCAACGCAACGGGTATGAAAAAACGCACCGTCTAAAATCGGTGAAAGTAATATTTTTAATCTTGGAATCGCGTTTGTATTATTCGATGCATTATCAAAAGATATAGAAAAAACTTTATTTTCTAATTTATAAAGACAAATTACCCGTTTTAAAAGTGTAAATAAATTAGCACCGGTATGCGGCTCACCGAATAATTCAAACGCGATTGTTCTTTTCATCATTTGCCAATTATCTTGATCTAACCAATGTGACGTAACGGCTAAAAAAGAATTTCCGGTATTATGAGGGGAACTCCAAACGTCACATGTAAGCGACACACCATAACGGTGTTCTTGGAATCCTAAAATCATTTTTTCCCTCGCCGTACGCCACATTTTTATAGCATCTCTTCTAAGGGTAGTACGACTTACTTGAGTATAACGTGGTTGCATTAGTTGTGAATTGTTGTCGTGAAATCTTCATCATCAAAGTGGTCGAACGGCAATGCTTTTGTAATCACGAACTTTGTAAACGCTTCTCGTAATTTTTCGTTGTCGTAAACAAAAACACCACCTTGCGGTGTAAGATTCGATTGACTAGGATCCGATCTTGAGCGAAGTGCCTTGCATGATTTTGTCAAATGGTTCTTCAACGTTGTGTTTCCTTCCGATGCAAGAAACTTTAGACAAAGTTTACAACGCGCCCTCCTCGAGCCATTTGACATCTCACATAAATCGTAGTGATCCCAAATATCTTTGTTTCGAGTGTGTTCGATCACTCTCACGACTTCAAGGTTTCCCCCGACGGAAGATTCAGCAGTGTTACTCATGATGAATAAAAAATTACAAAACTAAGATTTGAGAGATGTTTAAGTGTTGTGTAATAAGATTTGAGAAAGTTGTAATCAACCAAATACATCCCCAACCTATTTATACATGTTTAGGGTGGTAAAATGGTAATTTTTTAAAGAAAAAACGGTCAAAAACGGTCACAAACGGCTATATTAACGGCTAGTTTTTTAAACCCAGACCGGTTTTTTTTTCGGATAAAAACGGTTTTTTAACCGGTTTTTTCAAACCGGTTTTTATCCGGTAAAAAAACCGGTCTAGGTTTTTTTCTCCAAACCGGTTAAAATAACCGGTTTAAAAAAATCCAATCCGGTTAAAAAAAAACCGGTTTTTCCCAAAACCGGTTTCGGATATTTTTTTCGGATATTCGGATATTCGGATTTTTTGTGCACCCCTACCTCTAACCTTAATAAAGGTTGGATTCAACAGAGCCATTCTAAAAGAAAAAAAATCAAGTATATCCAAGGTCGTTATGCTTTAAACCAAGCCTAGTTTGGATT